ATATGTTTAAGAAAAAATACTACAAAGAGACGGTAAACAGTTCAAAACACAAGACTAACCTTCACAGGATAGTAGAGTTGTCACTTGTGATAGAGGAGCGGTATTATAACCAGCTCGTGCTCGATTTCAATAAAATACCGGTGCGAATTTCCGTAGTGCGTATCCCAGTCAAAATTGCGGATCGACACGCGCTCTGGCCGATCATGTCTTCCACTTCTCCTGGATCAGTTGGTAGCTGCCAGACTCGTCTTATTGTTAGAGAATGAAAGCGCTGACCTGTACAGGCTGACCCCCACAATCATGGGTCATGGGTGTGGTGCATTAGGATCGAAACTGTCGCGTTGCGGCGGGAGACGCCGCGCGCGAAATGTAGCAGAATGCAGCAGCAAGTAAGAAATACAAGAACAAAAAAACTAATATTAGAATCATGCCAAAAATAATAATCGCATATCAACTGAGCTGTATGAAGAACGCTACAGCTGTAAAAATGAGGCGAATGGTCCGCGACTGCCGACTGCGGCGAATCGATTACACAAAACCGGCGCTACTGCCCGTCGGGGGACGGAACATTCACCCAGAACTGGATGGACGCGGCAAATGGCGCGGCGAAATACATGACGTTTAGGACGACTCGGACACCTATCATTGGACGCAAACTTGAAAAAGATTACATTAGTATGGTTAGATCGTAATAATCGACTCTACTTTAAATTTGGGCCCCAGTGATAGGCGCTAAAGTCGTTTAAGTTAAGTTGTTAGTTAGTTTAAGTAGTTGTTAGTTTAAGTTTAAGTTAAGTAGTCGTTCACGAATTTCGCCGCGCGATTTGCCGCGTCCATCTAGTTCTGGGTGAATGTACCCATACCCCTGCCCGTCTCCCATGGGGCGTATACGTATTCTGGAGCTACTACAATTCTGAGCGGCTCTCGATTACAGAGACGCTTCTAACGGACGGGTTCGATGAGGTCAAAGACTTTATGCTCTTGTCCTAGAGCGAGTGTTTGCTTGCTCCTCAAAGTACTGAATCCAGTGAGTACCGTATTTGGATCAATCGATACCATGACATTAGTTGATGCACTTTTTCTTGGTTGTTCACTGTCCAATTACAAGCTCAGATCTGTTCTGAAGTGGTGACACAACTTCAAATGAAATGCCCATTCATACGAATAAAAGTCACACCCCAACCGGTGCCACAGAAGCGCTGGAATCCTGGAATAGTTCCACATGAAAGTAATGAAATAGCCTATCTTAAGGTAGATAGCACCAGCAGCATTCCATACAATAGCTGACTTGCTTGGTGAATGAAGGATCAGTTCTTGAAGGTTCTGGAGATCTCTCACACCGTCGATTTATATTTCCAGCAGCAGGGTGCTAGTTTGTCCATATTCAAACCCTTTCATCGCATTCTCCCAACTATTCGTACTCGCCACCGATACCAGGCTCATCATGCACACTGCCTTCAATTACCGACGGGAACGTCGTTAACAGCAGGCGAAACGAGTAATTCGCGACGGCATGTACTCGATCGTAGGCCAAAACAATTACTTTCAATTCCTGACGATTACAGTTTGTTTATAAAAATATTTGGCAGTTATGGTTACTTGGTAGCTCTGATTTTCACTACTTATCACATCGTTTCAGCTGCCATGTCCGTTGGTATAATAAATTCTAACCTCCGACTTCGTAAAAAGGAAATATTTTGCATATCTCCGTCAACAATCAACACATGCGGTGCCATCAATGTAGTAAGTTCCCCCTTGTGGTTTTATTTCGTTACAAGGGATCAATTGCAAGTTCCTTTAATGGTGGGGAAAGATTCAGATCATGGGTGGGTGGTATCTACCTTCCAGCCGCTACTAGGCATGTTCCCTAAGGTTATTTGAAAAAAATTAAAGAAAAGCGCTCCCCTCATAAATATCATTTTTCCTCATCTTCATTTCATTATTGAGAAGATGAAGTACTTTATTCTAAATGCTCATCTGATAAGTCCCGCCCATTCCGAGGACGCTCCACCCACAGCAGATGAGTCTCCTTCGTCTGATTTGTTGACCCTGTCCTTACCTTAGTCTATTTTTTCTCGGTGTCTGGACCTTTTCTAAAGCCATAATAAGACAATTGGCTGTTCGCACCGCCCATTCCGGCACTTGCCGCGCCCCCTGTAGGCGGAGCTCCGCAGGGTTCATGTGCGCTCCGTTGATCTTATCTCAGGCTCCACCCTTCTCGAACTTGCCGACCTCTGAAGATATATAGTAAGGATATGAGAAGCACCACTTAATACTACTGTTTACAAATCTATTTTGTGTTTATTTAGTGTTGTTTTGACAAAACTGGAACTCTTACCGAGGACGGTCTTGATTTTCAAACACTGCGTGCTGTAACACCAGCGAAGGAAGCGGAGCCTCCCACGTTCACTGAGGTTTGCATATATTTGCGTTTAGGAATTACAAAAGTGTTCTCGAATCCTTTATATCTGTTAAAATATCCTGTTTCTAGGAAATGGAAAAGATGACGCCTGATGAGCTGCCATCGAAGGGAGAACTGATCACTGCCATTGCAACTTGCCATTCGTTGACTAAGTAACTTGTTACCTCTTACCTGGCAGGCCGCACTTTGGTTTGGCTCACAATGAGCAGCATGCTTGATCATTTCAGAATAGATGGGGAACTACATGGAGATCCCCTCGATTTGATTCTTTTCAATCAGACCGGATGGACTTTAATGGAGTCAGTAGACGATGAAGCTGACAGTGAACTGCAGCTCTTCGATAATATTCAGGTTTGTTGTCATTTTCTTCTGTTACATTTGAGTTCTTTTAGTACGCCCGCAGTTATTGTTACACCGAGCTCCTGCGATCCACCATTGGTGGATTGTCGAGCTGCGCGCTATTCAACCATTCAAGGCAGCAGAGGACCCTTCAATTTTTTTTTGCGTAACGTGTGTAGATAAGAAAGTTGAAGCAGCTCTACTGACAGTGAGACACATAATTTTCTCTGAGTGAATAGTGTACTTGTGTTTTCTAGATGCCTCTTCAGAACTCTCTTCTGGTATTTGTGTAATAAGAAAGTGAAAATTATACAAGTGTTGATTAGGATTCTTTTGAAATGGAAAATATTGCCACTTGCATTAACTCCGATTTTTTTTGTGAGTTATTCGATCGGGGATTATTGCTGTGTGCGTCGAATATATTGATCTCAAGCGCATCGCAGCCGCACGCGTTCTTATTATGCATTTCGACCATACTCGTTATGCGTACTATTTATTATGGATAAAGATTATTCTTTTAGCCTACTGTTGTGAGGCCACCAACCAATCTCGAAGGTCATCCATTTAACAAGGAATACAGTGTTATTCGTCAGTTTACATTCAGGTAGAATTTTTTATCCTTGTCTAATTATTTAAACTATCAAATGCACTAAAACCCTGCCCATCAATTATCAACACTTCCAAGCAATATATTTGAGAAGCCGTATTTTTTGGAGTTATACTGCAATCGCGTTTGTAGCTCTTCTCTTCAACGAATGTCGGTGATCGTATCAAATCCCCGTGATGATTCATCTCATGACATGACTCTATACTGTAAAGGATCGCCAGAAATGATACAGACACTTTGTGATCCGAAATCAATACCAGATGACTATCAGGTAATATTTTAATAATGTCTTGAAGCGATTAGAAAGTATATATTCTCTCGACGGCATGCTGCAAGACCCTATAAGGCAAGTAGCCAGCATGATTATATGGGTCCTGGCGCGACAACTCACTACATAGGAATGGTCGCGCGCTGCAGGTGGATGAGAGAAAGCTCCACCCACCGGTCCTACAAGCTTACTAAATTTTCATTTTCATATGCAAAAAATCCATTTACAAGTGTTGTGAAGCGATTAACTTTAAAAAAGTTTTTTCAATTTTTTGTGGTGCATTTAGTATGGTGATACATTTGGAACCTATGTTGAACATTGTTACAGGCGCAAGTGAACTTGTATGCACAACATGGCTATCGATTGATTGCTGTTGCTAGAAAAAGATTGGAGATGAACTATGTCAAAGCATCGAAAGTACCACGAAATCAGGTACACTTTTACACAATACACAAGCTACGTTCTTACAAAAAAGAAGAATTCATATTTGNAAGCTTACTAAATTTTCATTTTCATATGCAAAAAATCCATTTACAAGTGTTGTGAAGCGATTAACTTTAAAAAAGTTTTTTTCAATTTTTTGTGGTGCATTTAGTATGGTGATACATTTGGAACCTATGTTGAACATTGTTACAGGCGCAAGTGAACTTGTATGCACAACATGGCTATCGATTGATTGCTGTTGCTAGAAAAAGATTGGAGATGAACTATGTCAAAGCATCGAAAGTACCACGAAATCAGGTACACTTTTACACAATACACAAGCTACGTTCTTACAAAAAAAGAAGAATTCATATTTGATTACAAAGTGGCAAATCATAGGTCGAGTACGACTTGGAGCTTTTGGGTCTTGTCGTGATGGAAAACCGAGTGAAACCAGCTACACTAGGAGTCATCAATCAGCTGAACAGGTATGCTTATCTTCCGCTGGTATAAAACCGATATCATCGAAGATGTAGGACCAACAGCCCAAAGAGACATTTGTTACTGAACCCTGATTGGCTCAGTGATCTATGGTCCAAGCTCAGACACGCCCACTAGGGTAAACCCCGCCCACTCACTAGGATGGCTTGGTACTGGTAGTGCATAGCTTGTCTTCATTTCAGAGCTCATATTCGGACGGTGATGGTGACGGGAGACAATCTACTCACTGCACTAAGTGTTGCTCGAGAATGTGGAATTATTCGGCCAAATAAACTTGCCTATCTGGTAGAACATCACACGGATATGGTTGATCATAAAGGACGTCCTCTGCTCACTCTTAGGCAGGTATGCATCACAACCTACTATGAAAATATTAGGTCGTGCAAGAGTATCGAAGAAATTTTGCGACATTTTTTCTGGGGATTTCTTCTGGAGGCTTTCATAGGAATACTATAAAAAGCTACTATTTACTTGTAAGCGCATAGCATACTGAGAGATTTCATGATATTGCAAATGGTCCCATGAAAGTTCTTAGAAAGTCTTGGGATAATTCTGGACATTTGCGAAATTTTCTGCAGAAATTTTCCCCGCAACCTAGTAAACCATGGGGAAGGATCTCACTCCACGTCAGACTGAGATGTGGGCCTTCTGCCACTATGCTCATTGCAGGCCGTATCGAGCTCTGGAAAGACGATCGAAGGAGAGGACTCATCAGATGTGTCAGTTGAGGTTGGAAAAAGGCACTATCTGGAAAGCTGTTACCAACTGGCAATATCAGGTGAGAGTTCTATCAGAAACTACTTTATTATATAACATTCATAGTTCTTATTCTCCCTTACCCTACTGATGAGCACGGAGGGAGATATATCTTGAGTTTGACTTCCGTCTAGGGCACGAGCGAAACGGAAGTTGAACTACTTCTTTGACTTGTCCTCCCCTATATCTTAATACTTTGCCTTAATACTATCGGTTGTATTTATTTATTTGAAATAAAAAAGGCGAACTTGTTTTTGCTCACTGGAATCCAGAATAATGGTGCCCCTAAAAAACGGTATCGAAGTGATTATGGATTTCATAATGAAAACAAAGGGAACTGGGGAAGGGACTATACTCGCTTTTTTGGAAGCGAATCTGCAAGTTGGTATGCGTTGCGAGCTGTTCCAAACTCGATCCATTCCGTCGTTTTTTTGTGCATACCTCTTTGTTCGGAAATCGGAAAGCGAAACGTGAACTGATGCGACTCATAAATGTAAACCGGTCACTTTCTACCTTAGTTTTTGGTGCTGAGAACGAGTTGAACTACTACTAGTATTATACTGGCTGGCTACCAAGGGTATACTCGTAGGCGCACCACCTCGAGCGCCCAGCCATTCTGACTGAGACGTCCTGCTCCTCTTTTAGAGCTGATTTCTGAGACTCCACCTCTACTTTGCATCGACTTCTATGTTCAGTTCATAGTATTGAAGGTCCGACATTTGCCGTGCTTGTACACGAGTATCCTGAGCTGCTTGATAAGCTAGTGGCGGTGTGTGATGTATTCGCCAGAATGGCTCCCGATCAAAAACAGCAGCTTATAAATTATCTTCAGGAGGTGACTAATTCCATTACAAACTGACTCTATTTATACTCAATTACCGTTCACTGTCAGATCAATTATACTGTGGCTATGTGTGGTGATGGAGCTAATGACTGTGCAGCCTTAAAAGCTGCTCATGCAGGAATTTCACTTTCCGATGCAGAGGCTTCGATTGCTGCACCGTTCACGTCAAGGGTGGGGTCTTTTCGTGGCCCATCGTAACCGTCCAAGCCAAACAGTGTTCTTTCCAGATTGCTGATATACGTTGTGTACCAACGGTGATTCGAGAAGGTCGTGCAGCTCTTGTAACTTCATTCGGTGTGTTCAAGTACATGGCAGGATATTCGCTAACACAATTTTCTTCAATTATGTTGCTCTACTGGATTTCATCCAACTTGGCAGATTTCCAGGTGCTTATGGTTTTCCTTCTCAAATACTGCCTAACTCATGCACCCCCATACCCAAATCCCCCTTATTCAGGGGTTCTCTTAAGTAGGGGAGGCGGACATACCCAGGCCTAGCCTCCTGCTTGGGGAAAATGGGCAAAGCTGAGCAAAGTTTTGATTGGAATACTTCAAAGTGAAAGTCCATTTTAAGACATCCACGGATGAAACATGTTCAGGTTCGGTGACATAGCAGAAATCGTATGGCAGTAATCGAGTACTTTGTAGAATAAAAACCTCAAACTCCCTTTCATACATTTTTTCTCAAGCTTCAAATATAGCACTCAGGACCACTGCAATCCTATTTTGCGATCCCTAGCTTACGGACAGGCTAATCCATTTTCGGGCCTTTAGACACAATCCTGCCGGGACGTGAGCTAATCCCATCGTAGTGCAGAAGGCTCTCCTGCCAGTGTAATCAGTTCTCTGCAAAATTTTGGGCCTCGCAAACTCGGAAAATCCTCGTAAAAAGCAAGCACTCAAGGAAATGCTCAATTCCACGAATGCTCACCGAATTTTTACTTTAACTCTTATACAAGGGCGGAGGGGGTGTAGTGGCAAGTGGCACCCTATATCACATGCACGGTCAGGGGTTCGAATCCCGGGACAATGCCCGTCTAGGCCAACCAAGCCTTCCATCCCTCCGAGGTCGGTGAATTGGTACCAGACTCGTCTGGGAGGATAAAAGCACTGACTTGAACATCGACTGGCCACCGCAAGTCATCGTATTGGCCCACATACGCACTCATTACGCCACTACGATTCTGAATGGAAGTCGAGTGCGGGGGCGCATCCCTCAGACGGGATTGATTAACGCCAAAAACTTTATTTATTTTATCCTACTGTTTTACAAACCTTC